GCTCCGGGGCACAAATGCCGCCCTCTGTGCGCAGCCGTCACCATCGTGGGGACTGGCGGTGGCACCCCCCCGAGCTCGGAGACGGACGCAGACCCGAAATCTCACTCTCTCCACACAAGTCTGCTCACAGAAGACACTGAAGAGGCAGGGCTGTTTCCCGGCCACGCACGGGCACAGTTATACGCCCCATGTGTTATATGTGCTCCCTGCAAGCCGTGCTGCGTCCCCCTGCGTCCCCCTCCCTGCACCACGAGTGTCACCCCGTCGCCACGCCGGTGGCAGCCAGGGGACGGGCTCCCAGGACAGCCGAGCTCGGAGACCGGTCCTGCATCCCCAAGGAAGCGGCACTGGTTTTGTTGTGGCCACAGGTTTACATTTGCAAGCCACGTGCCGGAGCATTGGCCGCACCTGGAGATAAATTCAGGGGCACAAATCCTTTCCCAGGTTTTCCCGAGCAAACCAACGAGCTGAAGCAAGAGCAGCAACACAGCGCCCTGAAAGAGCCACCAAAAAACATCTTCCGGCTGCTTTAGGGATCTGCTTCAGGCACAGCTGGGAAAGGGTTTCATTCTCCATGCGGTGCGGTGAAATTGGAGGTGAAGAAGGGAATTTTATGGAACGTAGTTCATGTGGGAGGGGGATGGGACCTCCTCCTCGGCACGTCACAGCGTGGGGTGAAGGGGCTGCCAAGGTGGGAGGATCGGAGCCGCGGGCTCCTGCCCTCTCTCAGCGGGCAATGCCAGCACCTTGCGTGCTGTTAAAGACCGTGAGTGACGGATGGCGGTGACCTCCCCATCCTGGAGGGGACCTGGAGGGGACCCAGGGCTTCATTTTAGGGAAAAGAATTAGTGATGCACGCTGGTCCACGCACAATGACTGCAGCCAGCGCCCTAAAAGGCAGAATCCCCCATGGCTATGGATGAGTTTAAACTGGAAAAGGAACAGAGAAGCGCAGGCACGTGCGCTCGCCCTCAGCGCTGCCGGGCCAGCAGCCCCCGGGGACTTACCTCGGACCACTCTGACATCTCCCACTGGGGACCACAGGCCGGGTTCTTGCAGACCTTGCGCTCGTCCGGCCGGGTGATGTCAGCGGACTCACAGAGGTCGCTGTAGACGGAGCTGTCGAATCCCGGAGAGATCATCTTCCAGCAGCGGACGATGCGGAACTGGTAGCCCTCCCCGCAGGTGCGGGAACACTCGCTCCAGCTGCTCGTCTCCCACCTGCGGAGACAAGAGAGGCCGTCACGCCGGGCACGACTGGACCAGGGCCGGAGCATCCCACGGGAAACCCCTGCCTGCTCTCGGCTGGAGGGAGACGGCTGCAATAGGAATGAGCTGCAGTCAGGCTGAGAGCGTGCGAGGGATTTTCCCGTGGGATGGGATGTATTAACGTACGGTGGTTTCACCCAGCAGACCTGAGCTCATGCCCGTGGAGGTGGATGCTAAAACCAGTTTGCCGAGAGGAAGGAGGAGCTGGCGTGGTGATGCACGGAGCAGTTTATTGCATAATATCGCACGCTCTGCCGCTGCAACACTGCGTGTGCCAGCGCATTTCTCTGCCATGCTTTTTGCCCACATTCAGCCCCTCTGTTTTGCCTGTCCAGCTAAAGAACGGAGAAGACACAACCATCTGTCACCCTGCAAATCCCAGCAATAATGTCACACAAAGCTGTCTGAGCTCCAGTGGGACGGAGGGTCGTGTACCACCACCAGTCTAACTCTGCTAACCTCATGCGATGGGCTGGAAGAGGTGGGATCTGCTCCGAGACACCGCCTGTCCCTTACTGTCCCCTGGCACTATTCTCCTGATGTCACAAGAGGGGAGCAGCTTGTAAACCAAGGGTAAAGACATAACAAGTCAAGATTTTTATAGTACAGTAACATTACAGCAATTCTGAATTAAAAAAATCTATAAATCTAAATGGATCAGAATTCACAGCTCCTCTGGACATGGGGATACCCTGTGCATCCCCCGGGGCCACCCGCTGCTGCCGGTCTCCGAGCAGGAGAGCCACGTCCCCCCCGCTGCACGCCAGCCTCGTGTCCCACATGGGGCTCCAGGCACAGCACGCAGCCGCAGGGAGATGTCACGCATTTACAGGTGCCACCTAAATTCAGAAGGGGGAATGAAACCAAGGTCTTTCCCATCTAGATCAGGCAAAATTCTCTTAGCACTTTCTGTTGGAAAAGCCTTGCCAGCCCCAGCAGCATCCCGCCTGCCTAAGGGCTTGCGAGCGTGCCCGGCCGCCCCGCCGGAGCTCCTGGCAGCTCCTCGGTTTACCCCCCGCCGAGCCCCAACCACCGGTAAATCACAGAGCAGCTCTTCTCTCTTTACAGTGCAAACCCAGGGAGCTGGAACAGCACAACTCCAAGGAGGGGCAGCTTTATAAAAGCCCAGTGGGGTAATCTAAGGATGAAAAGAGCCCTAATGCTTGTGCTGAAAAATTACAAAGTGAATGCAAATAGAGATTAAAAACCCCATGGTGTCTACAGGGCGGGTATGTTCCCAGCAGTAGCACCATCCACCTCCCCACACTTTTGTTGCCTCAATCGCCGCCTGCCCTGGCTTTCAGCCTTAACGTGAGAGGTTCAATGAGATCTGACGCCGCAAAGGGCACGTGATTTCCTCCCCCGGTCCTCCTTCACAATTACCCAAGGTGAAAGCAAGCACTCTCCAGGGACCACGTGCCATACCCGGTCCCTGCCATCGCTCTGGTTGTGCTTTACACCGTTCAGAAGTTACACTATCCCAGGGCATGCACCAGACCTTCTCCCTTTGCCCCGTCCACAGTCTGACACCGTCACAGTCCTCCTCCCTTCGACAGACACCAGTCTGCCCTGCCCGTAACTGGTGTTACTTGCAAACCTTCCAACGAGCACGCCCCGGGTTACAAACCGGCGGCGGAGGTGCCCCTGGGACTTGGGGCTGCCATCAGGCTTTTCGGATAAAGAACCGCATCAGAAGAGAAACCTTCTGAAGGACTTCCAGCACCGGTTCCCCTCTGCACCAGCTCTTGCCCTGACACAAGCAGACCTCGGCGACGTTTAGGATGCCCAAGGGACCAGAGAACGGGATCCGCAGCACAGTTTGCCAGCCCGGCCCCTCCACCCAATTCACACACACGCTCCTCCACACTCTGCCCAGGGCGGAACACTGCCCGTACTGTCAGAGGTTGGACTCGATGGGAGCCCCGGGTGCAACCCCTGCCAGGATTTACGGAAGTTTTAACCTGGCAGCTTGGGCAAAGGACTCAGGAGCAAAGTATCGCTGAGTCCCAGTGCGGCTCAGGCAGGTGCAACTGGGAGAGGAGGAGGGATGGGGGTGGTACGGGCCACCCCTGCTGCCCCTCCCCCTCCCTCCCCAAATCCACACTGACCCCCTCCCCCAAATACACCCCCGGCAGAGACAGCGCGGAGCCCCCCGGGAGCGCCCTGGCGAGGCGGTACCTTGGCTGGCACTCTCTCCCAGCACAGAACTCATGGACGGGCTCGGGACGGGTCATGGCATCACAGTACGTATCATCCACTTCGATCCCATCATAGCGAACACACATAGCATATGTGGACATCACTCCTAGTTTCAAAGAGAATACACACACACAACAGAGGACGCTTGGTGATTTTGACATCCAAACTCTTTTTTTTTTTTTCTTTTTTCTTTTTTTTTTCTCTTTTGAGCTACATTTTCCAAAACTTCCTCCCAATGGAAAGCAGCGAGCCAGACCTTCTGGCCCGCGGCATGGATGCTGCCGGGAGGGGAGGACCGCAGCGGCCACCCAGCCAACATGGGCAGCGCGGTTGAGTTTAGCCGGCTCCGAAAGCGGGCACGGCCACCCCCGCCAGGGCTTGCCACCAAGATCAATATATGACTAACACGTTTTTATAGGAAACGCTCAGGGCAATGAGTCTGCTCGGCAGCTCCCTCCGCCTCGCAGCCATCAGCTCCCACGGACGGGACAGAAAACGGTCCCCAACCCACTCCATCCCCCCCCAGCCCCGCTCTCTCTAGACGCCTTAACACCCCCTTTGTGCCCGGGTACCCCCAGCGCTCGGGGCCAGGGAAGGGCTCCCGGGGGCTTTCCAAGGAGGCACCTGCGCCTCCTGCTCTCCAGCCGAAAGCGGAGGCAGCCGGTGTCGTCAGACTGAGACCTTTTCCCCCGCAGCCTGCCGTGCCAGAGTAAATGTTGTGAAGTCCATTCTGGGACCTGGCTGGGGACCAGGAGGCTGCTCTGGCTACAGGTAACAACAATCGCAGCTCTCGGGAAACATATGGTTTACATGAAACTAAAAAAAAAAAAAGATCTACAGCTCTTGACACGGTAGTGCTTCTCTGCGATATGTCATTAAGAAAAGGCAGTGAGAAAGGAGAAATTTAAGTAAAACCTCTCTCTGCTAGCTGCAAACCAGGGCAGAGCAGCCTGGCTCGAGCAAGGGGGAAATTTGTTCAGAGGGAATCAAAGAAGTCAAAAGTGTCCCAGAAGACGTGGCTGATGGGATCCCGGGAAAAGGGACGGGTTGCGAAGCTCCTGCTGCGGGCATGCGTCTGCTGGACGAGAACAAACGCTTAAAAAAAAATAAAATCCTCTTTTAAGAGATGCCCCTTAGATTGCAATCTCCTCTCTCCTCCCTTTTTTCCTTCTTTCTAATTCCAGAAGCACCGCGGGATCTGGATTATTTCATGGACGGGGGAGCGGTGCAGGCGAGCGCACGACCCACACACACGCTCCATCACAGGTGATGGGCTCGCAGGGACCACCACCCCTTAAGCAGAGAGTAAAGGGGGGGAGAGATCAGGCAGCTCAAAGCTTTTTTTTTGGGGGGGGCAAAAAGGGGGAATTTATGCATAAAGAATACAGGCTCGGTTTTGATATCCCTGGCATCTACATCCCTGTTCCAGATTTACACCCTCGCAGCCGAGATGGGGCTCCAGGGTAGAAGGAGTGGGAGAAACAAAACAAAATCAAAAAGCCAAATGCTATTTTGTTTCCTGCCAGAGCTGAACAATCTTCAAAATTTCACTCTGTGGGGAAGCAGCTGAGCTTTTCAAACCCTTCTGAATGGTCAAAAAGGGGAGGAAGGGAAAAAAAAAAACCAAAAAACAGAAAAAGAAGAAGAAAAAAAAAAAAAAGGCAATATGCTGAGACTCAGCACAGGTTTGGGGGTCCTGCCGAGCCCCAGCATGTCCCCGCTGGGCTGGGAAGCGAGGGTGACGTTCAGAGCTCCCCCGAGGAAGGGTGTTCTGCAGGATGATGGACACGCCGGGCACTAACTCTTCGTCCCCGACGCACCCGCAAGGCGGATGGGCTTTGCACGCTCTCGGCCCCCGGCTCCTCTCCCCACATTTGCACCCTGGTGGAGCAGATTTGGGGTGGTACTAAACCAGCTCCAGAGATCTCGAGATCCCCTACAACATCACCAGGTCCTTCCCATCCCTAACAGACATAAAAGTGACTCACACACGAGGTGATTTTCAGCGGTTGTGCAGAATTTGGCTGCTTCTTATAACTACCTGTGGTACATGTAGAGCTGCAGGGTTCATGGGAGGAAAGCTTCCACCTGTACATGTCAGCAGCACTCACACCTTGGCCCTTTCTTAACAACTTCAATCTGTTTCTAGCGATAAGCAAACAAAAACAAAAAAAAAAGAAACAAAACAAAACAAAAAAAAAGGCATTTACAAGGCGAGCGGTGATAGGCCACGTCAGACACACACATCTGCCAGCAGGCTGCAGTACGGTTGGGTTCGGGTTTGGGAGGGGATTTGCTTTGTTTGGCGGTTGGGTTTGGTTTTTCTGATTTTTTGGGGTTTGTTTTTTTTTGTTTTAATCAGTTTGGTTTGTTTCACAACATACCTGTCCTGAGCCCCAAGTAGAATCCCCAGCCCGGTTAGAGGCAGAGCTTCCACTGTCTAGAAATAGAGAGAATGGGATAAAAATACCCACAAGTAGAAACAGTTCAGAATTTAACAAAGTTTGCATTTTCTGCTCAAATACACCTGGCCCTCAGCATACAGCGACTAAAGGTGCAGTATCTCCTCCCCTGCGTCTCCAGGGCCGGGCACGCCGACTCGTGCTGCTCAACACGGCAGAGCTTTCGGCTGCTCAAATCTCAGCAGCTCACTCCTTCCGAAAGCCTACACGTGGCACGGGAGTTTATCAGCTTGCTTCTCGAAGCACGCTTTGCTATTAAACACCGAGGCATGCCATTTGCCTACCCGCTGCTTTTGCGACTCTTGGTTTGTTTGGTTTGGTTTGGTTTATTTTAGATAGGTAATTTGCATCTCTCATATCCACTCTGTGCTCTACCATCGGGAAAGGAGTAACGGAGTCAGCCTGGTGTACAAAAAAAGCATTTGTCAAAGCAAGAATAACAGCTTCTCCCAGTTCAGTGCGTCCTACATGCTGTAAGGTTGTAACGCGTCAGGGATACTGCACCTTTACAACAAAAGGCTTCAATTCTGTTCTCATACCTTCGTTCAAACCCTTGAAACGGCTACACTGAAATAGCGTACAAGGTTGGATCCTGACATCCAGTTGTCTCTGGCCTGGCGAGATATGCAGCTCGTATGATTTCTAGGCAGCAGAAGCTCTGAAATTGCCTTATTTAGTTGTTCTTAAGAAAAAGTTGAGGTCTAGTCTATCAAATCAACCTTTAAAAGGACACTGTTGAGAATCCAGCCGTTTCCTTTTGGACCCACCCTCCTTCCACCGCCAGCACTGAGCCTCCAGAAGGATTAAAAACAACAACAATCTCATTTTCCCTGTTTGATTTTGCTCTGTCAGTTTGGCAAATGGTCGCTTCCTGCGTTTGAAATGGAACCGAAATGACTGTGACTTTTTTTTTTTTTTTTTCCTTCGGAAAAATAACAACCTCGGCTCACTATAAATAGTTCTTTATCTTGTCAAAACAGCTCTGCCTGGGGACCCGCATCAGCCCCTGACCCCGGCTGCCGGCGGGGGGCTGCCTGCTGCCACCCAGCCAGGAGAGGGCTCACAAGATGACAGTTTTCAGTAAGATCGGTTAAAACAGAGTCAACATCTGGGTTTCGTACTTTAATTTGCCTGGAAAACAGGGTATTACCCAGAGCCTCATGTCTATACCCTGCTCTCAGAGGCACCAAAAAACCACCAAGTTATCCTGTGACCGGGACTCCTCTCCCTTGAAAGGAGAAAATAAGCTTCAAAATAAACTTTATACTACGTCTGAGGACAGAAAATCTTTCAACAGTGTCCCTTTAATGTATGTGATCCTAAATAAAGAGCTGCTTCTATGCATAACGAGGTCGCAGGGACAAGTTCTTTCCAGACAAATCAGACATTTGGTCATAGGGCAGCGTTTTGTTCTCAGCATTTCACGCAAAGACAAAACTGTCATTTTGTTCTCCTCTAAATGCAAACAACAGCACATTGTCCTAGAGAGCTGGTGGGGCTTTTCCTCTTTTCTTTCATAATTTTTCTCTTTATTATGAGCTTTTGTGTAAAGTCAAGTATTTTCTCCCCTGCCTGCCCTTTGCATCTGCTTTTCAAGCAAGCAACTGCACCAGAAGCCAGCACCAGTCCCTCGCTCCCAGCTGAGGTCTGGGCTGCCCGTCTTCCCGAAACGGTCCCCGTAGCAGAAAAATAATCCTAACAAGTGCACATGAACACCGCAGATCAGAGTTCAGAGTCCCTGGGATGACATTTCTCTGTTTTATTTCAGTTTTTATTTTTAAGCAAAGGTGGGGGGGGGCTCATGGCTCCCGTTGCAGGATCAGCGCTGGCTGCACGCTGCAGCACAGGCATGGGCTGAAGGGTGCCTGGACCTGCCCTGGAATGCCACAGAAAGACTTTATCTGCTCCAGGAGAGGACAAGCAGCACTGCATCCCTACCGAGGCACAAGAGCCACCCGTTCCCGTGCCAGCAGAGCTTGGTCCCAGAGCAAAAATATAACGTGCCACGCTGGTGGGAGGTGCTCCTGTAACTGGATAACCCCGTCCACGCTAAGAACTGCAACAGTTTAGAAAGAAATAAAATGCCCCACCTCTAACCAGCACTGTCTCGCTTGTACAGACTGCCTGGTTACAGTCTGAAAAGAGATGATCCTCCCTTGCTTAATCATTGACAGGGAACGAAAATGAGCAAAAAAGCCACCGTCCAGCCCAAACTGAGCCGGGGAAGGTTTTGGGAGGTCTCAAGTTCAAGTTCCTGCCCAGAACTAGGCTGACCCCAATAAGAGACTGGGTCCCACAGGGCCTTGCCAATCTCCAAGGATGGGGATCCCCCACCCTGCCCCACACCCGGGGCAAGAGGTTTCCCTTCGTGCCCCATCACCAGTTCCTTCAGCGCAGCTTCTGGCCGAGCCCTCCACTGCCCTTCCTCCTGGAGAAACATGTCCAACCCCCAACACTCTTCACATGCCCCATGCTCCAGCACCCTGCCCCTGACGTGTCAAACCCACAACCGCATCCCGCTGCCAGCACGGGCTCCATCCCGCTGTGCTGGGTGCCAGCAGGAGCTTTAACCCTGGCCCCAGTGACCTGAGCTCCTCATCCATCATTCCCACCCAGGAGATACATGGCGTTACGATTGCAACTGGGCTTGAAGTAATAAATACGAAGTTGGGGGAAGTGATAAAGGCAGGGCAGAAGCAGGTTGTCCTGACACGGTCCCTTCTGCCCCGTCCCCTGGGAAGGAGGATCGCCCGTCCTCGTGGTGGGGGCAGAACAGCCGGACCCTGAGCTTCCAAACGCACCCGTCTCTCCCTCCTCCACAAGTGCCCCCACATGCAGATGCTCTAATTGCCAATGACATGATGGGACTTTCTGAACTGTTGGGATGGAGAGCAACACCTCCATGCAGTGGGTGAAGGCTCCTGAAATGAGGTGCAAGTTGTTTTGTTGCCTTCCCCTCACTGATTTCTTTTTTTTTTTTTTTTGAATAAAATGACATGCCTCCCAACAGCACGGTTCCTGCACCCCGACTGCCCCACATCTGCCTCCACCGGCCTTTCAGCCACCCCCCACAGCTTCACAGCAGGAGCCAGCGAGGAGTGGGGCATCCCTCAGCCCAGGCTATAGCCCCAGCTGGACCTGGACGCAGCCAAAACTTTTTGGGATATTAACATTTAGACCTGAAAAGCTCTTATTTTATTCTAGAGAAAGTTGGGGGCGGGGGGAAGAAGAGGGAAACACTGTAGAACAAAACCAAGGGAAGAATGGGGAGAAAAAAATGGCAGTGCTGGGTATCTATCCTTCCTGAAGGGGTTCAGATCCCTGCCCGGTGTCCTCACTACGGAGGCAGTCAGCGATGGGGCAAGGAGCTTTTAAACACCACAAAACACTGCACTGGAGTCATCGACAGTCTTTTGCGACTGATCTGATCCGAGCTGCTCCGGATTTTAAAAGCGCATCAAGGTTCCTTTATTCCCAGGAGGCAGGAAAGCATTAGACCCCTTTAACAGCTACTGGGAGAGAGGTGTGGGCACAGGGCGCCAGCCAAGGCCACCCAGGGAGCGTGGTGGGTACCAGAGGAGGACCAAGGGGGGGACAGCCCCCTTCCTCAGCCCCACGGCACGGTAAGGCAGGAGAGCTGCCGGCGCTGCCCTCGCCTGTCAGAGTGCTAATGAAATGCTTGCTTTGGCAGCTGAAGGCAGAGCTTCCAAGCCAAGCCACGAGAAGAGATGATAGACTCAAGCCCTTGGCCCTGTTTTCATGTTCTTATCATTAAGAAGTTTGTTGATACGTTTGGCTGCATGGACATTTTCTTTAGGATAAGTTTCTTTAGCATAAGCTCGTGTAAGTTCTAGGTAAATACAGTTAACTATAACCAGAGAGCATCTGCTCAGTGCTTCAAGTCCTCTGAAGCTCAGCATCACAACCCATGCTTTTCATTTTTGGTGAAGACTGGGGGACAGGAGAGTCACAGCAGAGCCAGGAGGAGACCCATAGGGGACACTTGGATGCCGCGGGCCCCAAACAAACTGTGGGGGTGCACAGCAGGACCCAAGTGCCCAGCTGCGGGTCTGGGACCTGGATGACTCCCAAAGCCCCAATTTCAGACCCTGCAGATTGCTTTAATTTGTGGCTGCTGCCCAGAGAGCCCCAGGGCACCCCAAAAGACCCTGGACAGGCTTGTGGACCACCACTGTCCTGAGACTCCCTTTCCTCCAGCACATCCTTGCCTGGATGAATTTTGTTGCTAAAGATAGATTAAGCCCTTTTTTTTTTTTTTTTTAACCTTCCCACTAGATTTTATAACAATACCGCTCCAAACCAGCCATTCAAGGAACCCTGAAGTGACGGCCCTAATATCAATCAATGAGATGCCACTGGAGAGCTTTTGATATTCTTGTCAAAGCGGTGACTAATTGCACTGCTGCTGCATCCATCAAGGCAGCAAACCCAGGCTATTCCTGCAGGCCCTTCAGAAGAGCTCCTGTTGTCCTGCTCTGCGCCTCCAGCAGCAGTTAAGCAGGCAGGGCCATCCCTGGGAGCTGCTGGAAGCATGTTCCTGCCCACGCAAGTGAGGAGGATCGTGGGTGGCAGTCAACAGGGTGGGTAAAAAGGGGCCAGGACTAACTTCTGCTGCATCAGAGCTCAGAGGAAGGGGCTGGGGGATCAGAGCAGGGTGTCAAGAGAAGACGAAAGGAAGAGGCTCCTTTACAGCCATGGCTCTGACAACGAGCTATGACAGGCAGAGCAATGTGCAAGCTGACAGCCATCAGCATGGACTTGCCAACATCCCCAGTAAGGAGGGAAGTGAGTTTTCCTCTTGCTTAAATGCTCTCTTGACTTTCTGCTCCCAAACCTCTGGCCCTTCCTTCCAAAAAAAAAAAAAAACCCGACACAAAGCTTTCACATCCATCATCCTACCCCCACTTACCTTCTGGCTTCCAAAGCAGATAGAAACCATGCTATGGGGTCTACATTGAGTACAGGGCTATTATGAGTTGAGAACAGCAATAAAGAGGATTGACTATAGTCAAAGACACGTCTCCTACCTTGCTTTGTGGGTTCTGTTCCCTTGAGGGCTGGTCATGGTGACAGTGGCATTTGAAAACGGTGTCTCTGCAGACGTGTTGATGGCTTTGCCATTGCTCAGCTCCATGTAGGTGCTATTAATGGTGTAGGTCACAATGCCATCAGTGTCCTCGTAGTCAACGTAGAGACTGTCAATATGTGACCCCACAGAATTGATTGGGTCTCCCTGGGCAAAGATGCTGTTCATGGTCATGTTGAGCACCAACTCCTTGGAGTCCGAGGTCTTGTCCAGCAGCTTGTCCGTGATGGCGTTCTCCGAGAGGAATTCCCTGGAGGTGAACCTGGGGTCAAACTCTCTGTCGTCATGGTCTGTCTGGTAAGTAGACCTGGTTACGTTTGAATCTAGATTGGAGCCAACAGGGGGAAACAACAGTGACAACCACAAAATGCATTCAGGCTGGCAGGCGAAAGCAGCCCAGAGCAGCGGGGGCACGCCGGAGCCTGAGCAGCCCGCGGGGAGGCTAGAGGCAGGAGCTGGGGTCTTGGGGAGGGGGAATCTCGTGGGGTTGTACCCCTTTGGGAAGAGTGTGCAGCTCTGTGGGTCTCATCCCGCTGTCGCACGGCCAGAGGAGAGCTCAGCACCTGCCAGCGCTGCCCCAAGCAATAGCAGAGGTCAGAAAGGAAGATGCCCTCCTGGCCCCACAGCCCATGCAGCCATGCTGGGAAAGCACTCAAGGCAGTTTGGTGGCGGGATACCCAAGGGACTGGAGTGGGAAGGAGGTTGCTGGGGGCTGGGCAGAGGTGGGAGGTGATGGAAGATGTTGTGACAGGGACCTCTGTGCATCCAGGGCTCCCTCCTGTCCTTGGCATGAGGCGAAGCACAGCAGGGCACCAGCGGGGAGACCTTACCCATGGCCACCACCCCCCCACCCGCCAGAAACCAGAACCTGAAGGGCAAAGAGGATTTATGAGCAGAGACATTTTAAAGAACTTTCCAAGGTTTCCAAAAAACAAACCAGCAGAATCACCAGAGGTAGAAACAGAGCGTTTCTCAACAAGAGCTCTGAGAAGCAGAACAGTGAGGCCCAAGTCTCCTCCTTACCTTGGGGTTGTTTGCCCTTCAGTTTTGGCTCACAGTCAATTGTTTCTGCTCTTTCATAGACCTCATTGGTTTCCTGACCTTTGCTCAAGTTTAAATCTTCCTCCGTGTCCTGCCTTCCAAACACCTGGTTCTCCAAGTCTATCCTTTCCCTGGATATTTTCCCAAAATAGGTTGCGTTGTGCTGGATAAAACCCAATGGCACGTCTCCATCGAACTCTCTGCTTTCTTCACTATCTGACTCGGAGAAGGTGTAGTAGATGGGCTGCAGATTTTTTGAGTGTGGCTTCCTCAGGAGGATGTATTCGAACGTGATGGATGGATTCTTGCCATTTTGATTCCAGACCTAGCAAACAAATTAAATTATTAGCGGATGCAGTGTATATATGGCATGCAAAAATTTGTGATTCATCTTGGACTTGACAGTTGGTGAGCATCTACGTTCCTATTTCCAATCTGTTTTTCACCATGTTGCCAACTTCCCACAACTGGAGCCCAGCACAATTTTCCAAGGGTTATTTGGCTGCACCGCCCTGGGGATCAGCCCCAGCTCAGGGACTGGGAGCTGCAGGTCACGCTCCATCCTCTGCCACTGAGCAACCAGCGACTTGAGACAGCCACTTCACAAGTTATCCACCATCACTTGCAAACGTGTATTTTGTAGCTTTATGAAGAGCATGCACACACGCCTTCAGCTACTACATCCCTACTGGGGATGGGGACTCACAGCTGATGCACTGCGACCTCTTACTGGTCCAATGCTTTATAAGCACCCAAGCAACCATCCCTTCCCCTTCCAGAGGAGCCCGGGGCTATGTGGAGGATGGCAAGAGTTGGGCTCTGGCTGGCTGCCCAGAAGAAAAATTAAATTACTTTTCTTCATATGTCTGTTTTTAGATAGTTTGCTTTCAAGAAAGGGTTGGGGTTCAAGTTTTGTGCACTTCTGTAAGCTATCTGGCCCGATTTCTTATTTTTACTTTTCCTGCCAGGTAACTTGGATAAAAATACTGAGGAGTAGAAGAGAAATCCCCCCGCAATGCCTGAGGCATCTTCTCCCTGCAGAGCGAGGGGTCGCCAAGCCCACGTTCGTTATTCACAGCCCTGCCTGCACTCAGGAGCACTGACGCAAGTAAAATGGGTTTGTGCAAGGCACTGGGCACAGTCACTGCTCCCACTCCCCTCCTCGAGCTGCCCAGGAGAGCTGGGAAACCACAGCAGGACTCCGCTCCCACGCCCACCCCTTCCTCCATCCAAGGTAGATTTTCCCTTCCCCGTCACCCCCGGCCTCGCAAACTTGAAAAGTCAAAGCTCACCATTATATTCAACCCTTGATTTGTCGGTCCTTGTGCAACAATATACTCTATGCCCGTCTCATAAACATCCATGGGCCGGCGGTACTTGAACACCGTGCCTGCAATGTTGAAGTTCTTCGGACTGTCAACTTTGTAGTTCCCGTTGAAGAAATAATACCCGGCTTCATCAGCCACAGCTTCAAACGAGAAAGAAAAAATGAGTGCCACCACAGGTAAGAGCAGAGGTATGTGATACTGCCACTTGTTCGTTCCGGGGATAAAATTATTAGAGCATCACAGTAATAAAACGAGTGTTTCTCCTACATCACAGTGCATTTGTCACCTACTTCCAACACATGTCATGCGATTATGTGCCCAGAGTTCTGGGCCATGCATCCCACTACATCACAAGCTCCTGGGTACATGGCTCATGCTAGTCCGTGGCTCCTCGCACCCTTTTGGCACGAGCACAGCATGAACATTTAATAATCACAGCTCTGCAGACAACAAGCAGAAGGTCAGATGGCCGACAGCAGGAGTTGCCTCCTTGGGAGCACCGAGCTGCTGCCACCTGACCCAGCAGTGGCCCAAGACAGATCATCCAGAACTAATTAGGAACTGCACGAAACCAAGCCTTTTTCATTCAAGCCTCCCTGCACATGGCCACAATGTGCAGCCTCTGAGGCAGCCTCAGAGCCTGACGGTAGCAAATGTGCTTCTCTTGGGCAAGTCCAGGTTTTCTCACGCTCCTCCTGAGCGGCTCTGCCACCTCCATCGTGAGACGGGTGGCGTGGCCACCAACACTTCAGCGAGGCAACGTGTAGGTCACATCCCCCTGGTGCTGTTGTCATGTGGCCGTCGCACATTCCCCAAGCGGGAGAAGACCAAGGGGATCACAAGAGAGGCGAAGTCACTCTGCTCTCTCTGACCTGGCACCAGGCATATTTGTCATAACGCACTGAAGCGGCAATCACATTGACCAACAGTTCCTGCGTTAAAGCAATCGGAGCTATATACAGCCCAGGTGCTCCGACTGCAGAGAGGAGCAACGCACTGGCTTAGACAACCTGGTTGTGATTTACACTGACTATGGATTTAGCTCATGTCTGCAGTAAAACTACATTCATCTTCGCGTTGGAAAAAGCATTAGCCAGTATAGGCACGCATTGTAGGGAAGTACCAAGAGGTTATACACACCCAGAACATCTGCGGATTTTTTCCGTTCCACTATCTGGATATCCCTTGCTCCAGCGGGAATGTGCGTTACCAGAGAATAGCCTATGGGAAACTACAGATTAATGAAAGGATCTTTGTAACAAATGGTCTGAATGAAACACTCAGTAGTCAATACTGCAACATATCAAGCAAACTGGCCTCGATCCAAAATTATTTATAAGGAGTCATGGATTAAAAAAACCTAATGTTGATAACTGCTAGGCTGCAAACAGGACTTTATCCATAATAGGAGACAAAATGCGTAAACTGTGCATCCTGGTTTATGGTGGAAAAACACAGCCAAGGGGAAAAAGGATGCAATCTTTACATGCACAAATATCAGATTTAGGTAAACTGGTATAAGAAAAGATCTCTGAAGACTGCTTTGTTAGCTAGAGAAGCTGTCCTGCGGTTCAGTATTGAACCCTGCGCTAGCTGGTCCCCCTGAAAGCCCAGCGAGAGGTTACAGCTTGGTTCCCCCTTTGCTTCGCACGAGGTAAGCGATGGGACAAGTCCTCCTAAGGCCACTGAAGTTCCTGCAGCGTGCTCCAGCTCAAACTGACCCTCAGAGAGCATGAATCATTATTCCTGAGTTAGAGGGCTATACTTAGGAGAAGTAGCTTCTGTCGCTCTACACCACGCTAATTCTGGAAATCCTGGTCTTTCAAAACACCCCAGCTTCCTGTTATTACAAATCATTTATTTCTAGTCTTACAGGGTCATGAGAAATAAGACTAAAATAGACGCCAGCCTCTTGCATAACCCTTTTGCACCATTCAGCATCAGAGACCTCAGGCTGCTGACAAGCATCGTGCAAAGTTACTGTTTTTCTTTAAAGAAGGCTTTCCCCTCCCAAATTTACAAGCGGCATTGAGGCACCCAGAACACATGGGAAAAACCGAAGCAGGGCAGTTGGGAAGAGCTGAAAGCAGTTTATCAAAAAATAAATACATTTAAAAAATAACCCTCTCATACAAATAAAGCAAAAGGTCCCCAAAAGCCTTACCAAGATGAGAATTTCCTTTCCGGTAACTGCCGGTCACGTGAGTACAGCTGCTCCCATCTCCTTGGCAAACTCCACATTTATCCAAGGTGTGGGTGGAAAAGAGAATGCCATCGCACCCAATGGGCTACAAAAATGCACAAATAGAGTATTGAGGGTCAGGCAGATGTCGCACCCAGTGTAATTTTCTGAATGCTACTAACAATATTTTTGCTATAATGTTTAACAACCTCACATTTTCCAGACACGCAAACCCCTCGGAAATCAGTGTATTTGCAGGATGTTCCATCCCGAGCCTGAACCATTAACTGTCTCTGACCATCCACAGTGGTGCAATGGAGGTCACAGGGCTTGCTAGAAATGTGAACATAGTCATCTAAGGGGAAAGGATATAAAGATATATTCAAAACAGCAGAAACACAATAACTTTCATCCTACCAATGTCAATGAATCTCTGCCAAGCAAAACAACAGCAGCAACAGCACAATTGCACAGCAGCCAGCGGGTTTTTCAGAAGCTGCCATCTCTTGTGCTTCAGGCTGGACAGGAGATCGCACTTCTGAGAGCGTGACAGCCCACTGCTGCAAACCTTTGCACAGTCCCCTCTGCTGCCAGGGATGGGAGCACCCGGTGATGCCAACGTACCGCTAACATCAGCCCCGGGGGATGCACCGAAGCCGTACCGGCCACTATTCTGTGCAAGGACTTGCAGCGGTGAGACATGCACACATTACACAAACAAACGCATGCTCGCACATCAACATTTAATACATGAGTTAAATTAACATGGTTATACTGTTATAAATACGTAGACAAGTAAGACTGTATTCAAAACCACAGCAGCTTAAAACATAAGAACTTTGCCATAAACGTTCACCCAAGTTGGACTTAATTCACCCTTTGCTTTCTGCAGGCAACTGGCCGGTTGCATCCGCTGGCACGGTAGTCCCACATTTTATAATATCCACAGGCAGCAAATGACAAATTCATATTTGCATCAGAAACCCAACGCTAAATGTCGAACTCTGCCAACTAGGGAGCGGTCATATACCCACTGGCCTGCGTGCCCAAGCAAGACAGCATCAATGTGAAAACATTATTCTGCAAATCCCCCAGGAGCCACGTGAACGCCTGCTAAAAAACAAAACAATTCACTGTAACTATTCTGGTGAATCATCTTGAAGAGCAAATACGTTTAAAGAAATTGTCGCCTCGCCATAGGAAAGGGACAAAAGCGGCCAAGTAGCTATAGGTAACCAGCCTGCCACGGGCTGAGATCCGCCACGCTGACCCTGCCAAGACGGCTGGCGAGACAGGGGCTTGTTTCACATAAAAGGAGGCAACAAGTAATTTCATGAAGCATAGTTGATCTTAGGTATGTACAGAGACCGCCTAAAATAAGAAAGCCGCGTTAGACCCCTTCTCTATTTTTAGAGACCCACATGGCGCTGTGAATGTGAGGAACCAGCGCTCAGGAGCCTTCTCCTCAGGACACGGGTCCCGGCTTCCCCACACCTCTAAAAATTGGCCGTGAGTTTTGTTTAACGCTTGATTTTGATGGGAGTTAGGAGCCTAAAAAATAAATGAAATCTCAGTCTCTGACTCTTAAGTTATTGCTGCAGCTCTGCGTCGCTCACCCCAGATGACCAAACTGCATCTCGGTGACATTTGACAGAGCGCGTGAAGGGTGTGGGAGGCAGCAAATGTCACCGAAACGCAGCGCGGCCAGTAACAGCCCCAGCTCAAAGGACACTTGTTCCAGTGAGCCGGACTCTCCCTGCCAGCACAGTCCATCGCCCCGTGCTCTCGCATCCTCCTCCAGCCTTTCAGCTCTCTGGTCCTCCGGAGCTGTGACCGACACAGGCTGCAGCCACAAATTCATGTTGTTATCTTATTTTTAAGCTACCCTGCAGCTGCAAAACGCGCCTTTGAACTTGGGAGACAGCTGATTGTGTCTCTGAAAAATAAAAATCACTTTAAAACAGCAGAGGAGGAGCCTCCCTGCAGGCTATGGCATCATAACTATCAAAATATTTTGGCTAAGCATTATGAAACACACAAAGAATGTCTTGTTACCAGGATATAAAGGTTTCCATTGATACGTTCTGCCATTATACACATGGGAGTTAAATGATGAACACTGCTCCTCTCGAAAGCTCCTTCCGTTCGCGGGGCACTCCTAGAATGGGATACATTAATATCCTGATGACAACAAAATGTGGGAAAAGTTTCTGGCACACCTCGACCGGCTGCAAGGAGCGTTTCCATCGCCTGCCCCATCCCGAGCCACATCCTCCTCCTCCTCCCCCTGCAGGGACAGCCAGGGGAACCCCCCCGGGAGATGGTGCAAGAACCACCCGCTGGGTTTATGGCCCCCCAGTGCAGGCAAAAAGCCCAAAGCCCTGACACAGTGGTGACGGGCACCAAAGGAGGGCACTCCTGTTGCTTGGAGGGGCAATGGGGTGACAGCTACAGGACAAATGGTGTCCCCTTTCCAAGGGGCCCAGAAATGCTATCGCAAGAAGCAAGCATGACTTTCCACATTTTATATCGAGTGTTCCTGATGAGAAAAAGGATATCCTTACTTGTACTTTGCAGAGCTGGTATCTTTTGGATGTTCCAGTGCAAGTTTTATTAGCCAGCCCACTCACTGACTTTCTTCTGAATAAAGAAATGATGGTTAGAGAGGGGTCAGAAAGCCTTCTTTACCCTTTTTTAAATATATTTGTCCCCGGCTTCCGATCAGTCTCCATGTAGCAGAGCTACACCGAGGTCTAGCACAGTCTCACTGGAGTTGATAGCACAGGTCTCTCTGGCTTTGTTACCTGCAGCACCGACTATTCTTTTTACAGCATCCTAGGAGGTACCATGGGGACAGGGGCCTGGGGACAAGGTTTGCGAGGTACCTTCTGGCAACCACACAGCCCAGAGACGGCAGAGCCATGCACAGAGCAGCCAGAATCAGCGGGTCCCCAACCAACCCTGCACCACAGTGTCCTCACTGCTGTGCCCAGAAGCCTTGAGAACAGGCTTAGGCGATGCCTGCTGCCCGTACGCACTAATCCCCGCAGGAGAAACCTCAGGGCCAGCACAGGAATAGCTTGGCTGGTCCTCCTGGCAGGGATGCCCAGGACACAGCATCCTCATGGCAGCATGCTCAGAGACATACTTACCTTCTGCACAAGCAGCGTTTGCCAGACAACACCTTTTCACCAGTGCTTATCTACTGAGCGATGACCTTCTGGATCAAGTCTACCTCCAGCAAGCTGGAGTTCCCCGCACCCCGGCAGGCGGGCGCCGTACCTCTGCCGCAGGCAGTGCCTCTCCTGGGATTTGACGCCTCCTCCGCAGGTCCTGGTGCACGCCGTCCACTTGGTCCACTCGCCCCACCAGTACGCGGTGACGTCTGCCCCTTCCTCCAGGCTGTTGGAGGTCTGCGTCAGGTCCTGCTCGAGGCAACGAAGGGAGAGAAGAAGCAGTTGGCACCCACACCGCAGACCCTGCGCGGGTGGGCAGAGGGCATCCCTCGCCCGGCCTGCCCCGAGCAAACAGGGCATCTCCTTCTCCACCTGAGGTCAAGTCTGAGATTTCCATCTCACAAGAAAGCCTGGATTTTTCCAATTGCGTTTTCATTACAAATTGGAATTAAATGGCAATATTTGGGATTCCTCAGGAAAGGAAATGTTCATTGTTTCGCTCAGTTGGCAAAACCGAGCTCCCAAACAACCCTAAACCTTTTGGTGCTCTCTGACTCTTGCTCCACAGTGAGTTCAGGGAGCTGAAGAGCTGGGCGCAGCCAAAACCTTTACTGAAACCTTAAGCAAACCCTTGCAAATCCACTCTGCAGCAGGAGAACACGCCGATGGACGCTAGCAGGCTGGAGGAGCCCGTGGGCTCTCTTTGCAAGTACAGGCTTGTCACTTGAGGGCCATGGAGGGTCCTTGACACCCCCACCTCCCACCCCTCAGCCACCGCAGGCAGCAGCGCGACTGTGCGTCAGAAGGCAAAGGAGCTGCTCCAGCGACAGTGTCACCACCATGTGCCAGCGCTCAGTGAGGCATTTGCACCCCTTCGCGAGGGGCACAGAACATCCTGGGGGGTCCCAGTGATTGCTCATGGCAGGGGAGGGATGTATTTTTCCACCCAGAATCACCGGCTGGTTAGGGGAGTTCTGTTAATTCTGTGTGTACTGGGACAGGGATAATGATAGTCCATGCAAAGTAAATAAAAGCTTCGAGCACTGCAGGGACCGAGGAAGCGGTGCTCACCCAAGAGCAGGGCATGGCCTTCCAGAGCCCTGGAAATGATCTGCGTACCCGCTTAGCCACAGATGGTACAAGTTAGGTTAAGCCCAGACTAAAGAGATGAGCCAAATCATGCATCCCCACATTTGCTGGAGACCCCACTCATGCACGGACCAGTCCTGCAAGTCCCAGGGGTCACCCATCCCCGACACCGCACCATTTTAAAGCCCAGGGACCCGCCAGCAAGGCGACGCGCTTACCTGAGTGATGACAAAGGCAATGTTGCCCACGAGAAGAAGGGCCAGGGTGCCTCTCAGCTGGGACCGCGCACTGATGGAGATGCTGCTCCACCTCCACTTAGATATCTTCATCCTGGAAAGCAACCGAACGGCACACTAAGCAAAACTCCCGTCCAGCCCCACCACCCTGCGAGGGCCGGGGCTGCTTTGCCGCCTGGGTAACACCGCACGTGTCTTCTTCAGCATTCCCGGTCAGCAAAGTGACAGCAGCCACCAGTGGCTGCAAGGGCTTGATCCTGAAGTTATATTTGATTAGTGGAAGCATTAACACGGTACAGGTTCACATCCCGTCTTGGTTGCTATCTTCCAAACCACAACTTTGCACTGGTTCCCAGCGGCTTCATTTGATACCACCAGTGCGAGCTGGGGCTCCAAGCTTGCCTTGGAAGAGAGCATGGCTTACACCAAAGCAAGCGTTGCACAAGAGGCAGCGAGTAACAAGAAGTGCCCCTGGATCTATAAAAGCAGTGCATTTAAATATCCCCATTTACAGAACTGCTCCTAGAAGAATGAGATGAAAGGCTTCATAGACAAAAAAAATGCAATTAACAGCCATTATTTTTCCTTTTTTTCATTTGTTCCACTCTAATTCCCACCGATTCCCAGGGAGGAAGCCTGTTCTTATAGAAAAGAAACCACCCACAATTAAAGAGCAGAAATGAAGTATCCCAAGTGTCAGCCTTTCATCTCTTTCTCCATCTGCCTCATGAAAGAGAGTAACTCAGAATGGCATTTTCTTAAATAAAACCCAGCTCAAAACCACAATACATTTTATTGTGAACCTCACTGCAAGAGCCAGAAAGGAGCAGGTTTCAGGAAATCATGCTTCCAGGCAATCAAAGCAGCTCATGTCTGTAAGAAAAAAAAAAAAAATATTCTCCCCTAAGCTAATTTCCCTTGAAAAGTAAGTAGACAGTATCTTTGGGAAGTAGGGAGGTGGGAGAGGGGCTGCTCCTGGGAAGAGGAGGCAGGACCGCAGACCTGCAATATAAAGAGCTTCTTTCCTACCCTTTTTTTTTTTTTTCCTTCTTGCAAGGGTTTTTGTGGCAGTTTTGGAAATGCAGAACCGCCGGCAGTGCCAGCGCGGCTTTGGCATCTGGCTTAGAGAAATTACCAGAGGGCTTCCAGGTCCCCAACTCCGCTTTGCCATCGCCCCGGGGTAGAGGTCCAGCGTGCAAAAGACACTTTCCAAGAGGCAGATCCATTGATTAATGGAAGCCCAGAGCGCTTGGCTGGGGATGCCGGGGACAGGTGGCTGAGACTTGCCTTACACTTGGTTTTCATTAAGGCTTCCAGACACTTCTGACTCGAAGCCAATAACCGAGCTCGCTCGGGGTTTATCCTAGAGTCGCTCAGAGCTGCATGTTTAAATAGAAGAAAAATTAAAGAAGCGGGGGAGGGATGTCGCCGACGAGCATCGCGGAGCCGGTACCGGAGGGAGCCCCGACGGCAGCCCGGACCTGCCCAGCGGCGGGGGGGCGCGGGCCGGGGGGGGGG